GAGAGGGAAGACGGTCGGATAGAGATCGGGAGGGAGAGAAAGCGGAGGAGAGAGTAGGGTGGAGAAAAGAGGGAGGGGAGAGAGTCCAGGAGACGGGAAGCCACGGTAAGATGAAAGGTCAGCTGTCCGGAGTTAGAGTAACGGGTGAGGCCTAATGACAGTTGATTAACCATGAGGATTGCCACACAACCAATTAAGATATTATAAGACAATGAGAAAAAAAAAACATAAATGAAGAAAAATATGCCAATAACTGTGTTTTTCCCCTCTCTCATTTCTGTATCAACTTGCGTTACATGATTAACATTACGTGTGTGCAGAGGGTCTCGGTAGCCGCATCGGGCCAGTCGCACTGCCTGCAACGCCCGAGTGGGTGGCATGGGTGAAAAGCTGCAAGGAATTACGACACGACTGTACATTTTTCCTCCGGTGACATGAATTGTCAGGACTGTTGTAGCACAAAAATCAACTAGATTGTGGATAGGGCATTGGGCGCTCAATTACCCATACAAAAGAAATTCGACGACATTATAATGCGATGATCATATAGACAGTGAGCTGGTAGTTTCTTACATATGCGTTGGTAACTCCGGGCCGGGGATTGGCCTGCATTTAGATTAAAGAAAAGGAATAAATCGCTCCGTCACTGTGAAACCTAGTTACACAAGTTGTATAGCATTTTGTATAATAACCTCTTTCCGCCATACACATACCTCTACCTGCCTCACATTGCATGAAAATGAATAATCAGTAATTAATAATAAGCAAATTATTATTAATGGTTGTTGAGCAATATTTATGATTAGTACTATCAGGTGGACAAAAGTAAACTGGGGCGCCGGACAAGTTTCTCGTCACCGTGGATGGGATATTCTTTCGGCTCTTGCTACGTTCCGGCTCAGTTCACCTTGAAACATTGGCATAGAAGTAAAGGGCTGCCAGAGAGAGCGAGCACCGCCTTGTGTGCCGGTTACCTCAACCACCACTAACCAACAGCACGACCGTCACACAGTTGCTTCGTGCCTAGGGTATAACGACAAACAACAATCAAACTCAAATGGGTACCAGTAAATACACTTTCGCACCTGCTATCTGTCTTTAAGTACTCCTTTTAGTTACAAACAATTTATAAAGACTTACTAGTAGAATAAAACATATACCTTTCGTTGACCAGGTGACATCTGCTGCCCTAAAGAGACTGTAACAACGACAACTTACATAAAATTTACGGATACCTCGAATAAAACAAGAATAGATGACAGATAAGGGTTGGCCGATGTGTGGTCGGTGTGGATGTGTGTGTGGTGTGTGTGTGTAGTGTGTGCTGTTGTGTCTGTGTGGCGGTGTGGGGGGGAATGGAGTGTGTCAATGGATTGAAGCAGACTGCATTATTCAGCCGCATGTGTCACCACTGAATACAACTGCGCATGCAACAAGGAAAGAGGTAAGGTGCAGTTCAACATGATGAGCTATACGCACTAACGTGTTTCGAGAAGGGGAACTAGTTGCGATTATAAATTGCAACTGGAACGTGAGGATATCACGTGATAACGGACAACATGCAAGTTATTGCGTGTAACTTTTGTCTAAACACGGAAATTGTTTGTACGCCTGCAGTGTTGTATCTATCGAGCACACAATAAAATCACCATAGTTGTTCTCACGATCCAAATCCCATACACTTACTTTCGCAGAACATTTAGAACAATAAATGCCTTCTGTGCGTGCTGTGTGTTGTGGTACGGTGGTACGTCCCTTTCCATCTCCAATGTGTCTGACAAAAAAATAATCCATTATATAACTGACAACGGTTTAGACTTTAAAACACATTTGTACTTTAGTAGCAAACATTTCAATGTAATTTAAATACTTAGAACTCACAAATATTATTGCCTGTACCTAGCTGTACTAATAACTCAACAAATTCTTGCGAATGCAAGTGTCACGATACATGCGTCTAAACAGAGGAATTGCTCCGACCTGTGATTGGAGGATAAAAATAGACCCTCCCGCCGCATACGCTATTATGCTATATGACAGGTAGGAACGTGTACTAACTATCATATGGAGCGAACTCAGTCAAATCTCGTGTATTGACGCTTAATATTGATACTGAAATCCCGAGGCAATACAACTTCACCCCTACCCACGCCGCCCCCCCGTTATTTTTTCTTGTTATAGGTTTTCAGTGACGTCGCTATACTGCTCGTATGCTAACCTAGGTGCGGTACAAGCGAAAGCCACCAATTACGTTTTATAGTGTGTCTCTCATACAGGTCATATAAGTGACAGGTCGAATAGCGCATCTCATATTATGCAAAATACATTTTAGTGTCGATACAGAGTTCTCATAGCGTATAGCTTTCCGCCGTGTTATCAACTGTGTGGAATCGATTGTAAGACAGAGAGAAGTCGCAAGCCCTACACATCAGAGACTAAAAACCGTTTATATCATTTTTTTATTTGTTTTTACGGGCGCGCGAAGTATATTTTTTCTTTATTGTTCAAATTCAAATATTGGCCATGATTCAAAAATCTAACTATTAATTAAGAACTAGTAATAGTCAATTTGCGAGTAATTGCCAATTGGCCGAGGGCAAATTGTAATGATGGCGCTGGCAGTTCTTCAGCCTCAAGGTCAAGCAAGCGGTCAAGGTAGTCTTGGCGGTCGTGGCAATTGAAATTTGACGGGTTCAAGTCAATACATCTAACTACAAGATCAGGAACGAAAATGGCATTCTGGCAATGTAGGTATGTGAGGGGTTGAGTGGTGGAACATCTTTGTGGTCATACTCCATTGAGAGTATTGTGGCGGGAGCTTAGCTTGTGGGTAAGTTTAGTTAGTGTCTAAGCAACCGAAAAGTGTCCAGACCGGAATGATATATTGCCATTGATTCTTTGTAAATGTGCCCATTCCCACTCTGACTGGCATTAGGAGTGTTAATTACTCATGATTCTTACAGTTGGGCCATGATATAATGACTCGGAGCGGTACTGATACCATGGGAGGACGTACGATGACAATAATGTATATTCCCCCAAACTCCAAGAGGATAGGGTTACGACAGAGTCTCCCCTATCCATTTTTCTGCGGAGGATGCCCGAGTTGAATCAGCTCGGGGGCCGGGGGTTTGGCTTGGTTGCGTTTCTCGAAAAGATATATGATATCCTAGAAACTTTCCTCAAACATACGAGAGATTTATTGCTCAACACCATTGTGAACCTATGATGTCTGAACGGCTATTCGGCGCTTTTGAAGCTTACTATGTATGCGCATACATCTGTCATTAAACTAATTTATAGTCCTTGTGTCAGGAAAGTTTCCGAGAAAGAGTGACGAGACGAGTGCACGCAATATACTGAGCGCCATTATCTGTTGACGGCAGCTGGTGACGTACTGGCGGGATCGGCTTTGAAGAGCGGGGTTACAAGGCCCCCGTGACGCAAATAGTCGGAAGTAAAATAGCGCACCTGAAAGATTTTATTTTGACCGGAGAGTCCTGACATATGGAGGACGCATTCTTCGGAATGGTGAGGTGCAGTAGTTGTCAAGTCAGACAATGCGTCGGATCTCAAGGTATATTCGCCGCTCGTCAATTTCATCGTAATTTTGTTGTGCGCTAAGACGAGTTATATTAGTTATTTAAGTGGATCAGACGCTATGTGGTGGCAGATACTGCTGCAATAGTTATAGGTTCCTCGCGAGTGAAAATAGCGGAAGAAAGGTTCGTGTTGAGGAATAGACACCCAATTTGGAAGTTCTATGAGTATCTGAAAACGCAAACACCAGCAAAAACCGGAGCCCGAAGCTGATTCACTACGGGATTGATAGGCCATTCCTGACGCAGAAAAGCCCGCATAACAGAGATCAAGTAGGGCTTTTTGTAATGACCGCATTATCCTCTTGCGGCTTTGGTTACAATTATTGTATTCCATCAATACTGCTATAGCGCCAAGCACAGCATGAACCATTCTGTACAAGTATCTAATTTGTTGAGCGGCACGCTCTAGCTGTACGCGGGCCTATAGTTCTACTAAGAAGTCTAGTTGAGGTCATTCATTTGGGGCTAGTCCGATAGATTTGTTTCTGCGCCATTGATCTCGGATAGCCGTGGACGTAAGTAAAATTTTTCTTTATCTACGAGGCTCAAATTCTCATCGGCTATTAATAAACGTCGTATATGTGTAACCTAGGTGCTCGTCACCATTAAATTTGCGCGGCAGGTTATTCGCAAGCGCCACGAATCGAAAGAGATTCTAGTATGTCCAGACGATGCCTGTCCGCAAAGCAGTAACTCACAGAGATGCGGTGCGAAACGAGGAAGTGGCTCGCGACCTGTGATCGCTTTGGTGGGCAGGGGGATAAAATAGAATTCGTGACGTTGTCGTTTCATGCAGCATGAGTCTAATTACATAGCTCGGACCCGGCTGCCCAGTGGTAATGCATTAGACCATACGGAGTAATTGAGCGGAGTCGACCGGCGCGTGCATATTTGCTACATTATTAGATTAATCGCTGGCTCGTCAATAAAGACTCAAAAGATCGTCAAGGAGAGACATTCAAGCGCTATACACAGTACGATGTCTATAACTAGCTAAAATTATAGAAATGTTAAGTACAAAATACGTTTGGCTC